TATTACATTCTTTGATGAAAAGGAATAAGTTTTCTGAAGTTTACAAATTTTATTATTGAACCATGCAAGATATCATATCTTTTTACAAATTCTTGGAGGGGAGAAGGGATGTGAGGTGAGGAGAAGGGGTTATTCTGCCTTTTACAGAAAAATCTATCAGTTCAGTACAACTGTCTAAAACTGTCAATCCAAAGCAAAAGTAATTGATTAGGATCCTGAAACGGACTACTAATCTCAGACCAGCAAATTTGAAAGTCAGTGAAATAGTATGGTCAATAATGATTAATCAAGGGCTTAGATATGAAAATAATTATTAATCATGGCTTCTAAATTCCAATAAAAATTAATCTTCCTTTTTCCTCAATGAACAATACATGTTAATCTTGTCTTTTTCCATGAGTAAATATTTCCTGTATTAAACACGATTTCACCGTCAATCAATAATCAAACTCTATCTTCCCATAGGAAAGAAATGTGTTTTATGTTCAAGAGATAGCGTACAAATAAAATTTATACAATATTGACATTTGCAGAAACACTGTCAATTTTTTTCACTTATGCAACTGTTATTGGGCAATGTTAGTATGGTTGCTATGGTGACAAGCTAATGCAGTTTTACGAAGATAAGGCAGTTTGTTTCCCTGGTTTTACAGAAAAACTTTCACAGTGCTAGCTTTTAATGGATATGATGTTTGAGGGAGGTGTTCCGATAAGGAGAAAGCCCTATTGATATTTACTATTTGGAGAATCCTCTTTTATCGTACATTGGTGGTGGATCTGGCTGGCACGCAGAATCTGTGTAGAATGAACCTTCAAATTCGCGACTGCTGTACTTTAATTACTAACAACAAAAATGATGGCGCATGAACCAAGAGACCCTGATGGTCTGTGTGTAGACACTTTTCTCATGATATGGAATATAAAGTTTATTTATTTTACAGCTTATATGCCATGTTGTATCAACTCCTATTTATCATTCTTGTTGGCAAAGATGGAAAGTTATTCTGGGGTGACACAATATTATATGAAAAAAAAATACGGTAATAAGCCCAATAGGAATTTAAGTGTTGTCTCCAAAGACTCATTCTATAACCTTCTTTAATCATCATCTTCATTTGAAACGAGTAGATAATTGCTTGATATATGTCAATCTTATTTTAAAATCATTTGCAAATCAGACATTATACACAAAAGAGATGTTTGTAAATATACATGATATATTTCATTTCATAAATGCTTTCCCAATGCTACATCAGACATAACTTTTGTTGAACAATGTTATAAAATCACTCTGGACAATTTATTTCATCAGTTGCTTTCTTCTTCACCAGGAAAATCCATTTAACCACCAAATTCTGGAAACAGCAAAATGAACTGTGTAATCACTTAATAGCCATTTGCAAGGTTGTACAAATCTGTATCAATCTTAGAACTATCTTAATTTCAATCTCATTATCATGATTTGCCACTCCCAATATATATCTGTCTAGGATTTTGTAGCATTGTGAGAATCTCTGAAACTATCATATCTCTAGAGAATTAAAGCAAGACGCAATTGATGGGAACAGTTTGTAACGTTTTCCACAACACCAGTAACCTGTACTCTGTATGTTAGTCCTAAGTACACAGAATCTCCTAATGTTTTTTTGATGTCAGCGTACAGACAAACCTAAGTGTTTTTTTTATTGCAGTCTGTCTATCAATAAAGACCATGAAAGTTGACAAATTATCTTTACTCTAACTGTCAATCATGAATGTTGACCAGGTGATCACTGGACAATTGGGATCTAAACACAAGGAATCACTGAATCACTGGGCTGTGTAGACAGGTGATTACTGAACCACTGGGCTGTGTAGACAGGTGATTACTGAACCACTGGGCTGTGTAGACAGGTGATTACTGAACCACTGGGCTGTGTAGACAGGCGATAACTGAATCACTTGGCTCTGTAGAGAGGTGATCACTGGATCACTTGGCTCTGTAGAGAGGTGATCACTGAACCACTGGCCTCTGTAGACAGGTGATTACTGAACCACTGGGCTGTGTAGACAGGCGATTACTGAATCACTTGGCTCTGTAGAGAGGTGATCACTGGATCACTTGGCTCTGTAGAGAGGTGATCACTGAACCACTGGCCTCTGTAGACAGGTGATCACTGGATCACTTGGCTCTGTAGAGAGTTGATCACTGAACCACTGGCCTCTGTAGACAGGTGATCACTGAATCACTGGCCTCTGTAGAGAGGTGATCACTGAATCACTGGCCTCTGTAGGCAGGTGATCACTGAATCACTGGCCTCTGTAGACAGGTGATCACTGAACCACTTGCCTCTGTAGACAGGTGATCACTGAACCACTGGCCTCTGTAGACAGGTGATCACTGGATCACTTGGCTCTGTAGAGAGGTGATCACTGAACCAATGGCCTCTGTAGACAGGTGATCACTGAACCACTGGCCTCTGTAGACAGGTGATCACTACACCACTGGTATCAGTAAACGTGTAATTACTTAACCACTTGACTCTGCAGACAGATGGTTGAGTGAAGGAGTTATTAAGGTATACCACTTAAATCTCCTTAACAACCCTTTACATTTAGTTATACAGATAGGTAGCATACAGACTTAAGATATCTCTTCATAGTTAGGTAGCCTATAGCCTTAAGTCATCAAATTACAGTTCATTAGTACAAACAGCCTAAAGTTTAATGTTACAGAAAGGTAGCATACAGCCTTAAGCCATCATTTTACAGTGCTGTATTTAGCATCATATTTCCATTTTACAGGAAGATAGCATAAAGCTTTATAAACAAATTTCTTTCATATAACAAATCCTTATATTTCTTGAGGACCGTATTTGCCGGACTTTACATATATTTTGAGGAAAAAAGTTAACATGACTGCATAGTCACCAACATGACACCCAAATCTCTGACCTACATCTACCTAAGACAAGTTGAAAACAGATCAGAATCAGATGGGAAGATGATTGATGTATGTGTATTTGTTCAGAGATGGTGTTCTGGGATTGAGTCCTGAGGATCATGACATACAGCACCAGCAATGCCAATGACCTTCAATATTGTGACTTTAATTAAAACTATACATCAGTAGAGAGACATGACATCCTGTAGTCTGTGGAATGTGTGGAATGTAAGATTGTCACACAAACAGACCTAAGGTACCAAGTCAGCACTCAGCAATTAGTGATGACAATGATTATTGAATACCAATATCCTACAGTTCAGCAAACATGCAACAAATGATCATGCCTACAAACATAGTTAAAATCGTCTAGTACATATAGTCAGTGGCAAATTCACAGTATACGTCTAAAATTATCAAAGCTTGAAAATTATATGTAGCCGCAAGGTGGAGAAATGTATGGTTCTCTGAGGTTTGCTGACATCAAAGTTATCAATAATTGGTTGTATCCATATTTATACACGGCACAAATGTCTAAAAGACCAAGTTACCCACCAATTACAATCTGACAATAATGATTCAAAATTGTATTTGGAAAACATCCAACAAGACATCATCAACCCAACTCACTTCATAAACACCTTTCCTAACAGTGATACAATAAGTTTGTCTGAAGACATTTTTATTATTTGTTGGGTTGGTTGCCTTGTCAACAGCCAGGGCCATTTTGAGGTGGAATCTCCTTTTTATTGCGGGTAGCTACATCATCGAACAACATAAGGGAGGCCTGCTGCGTGCAATCACCTCTAGACACAACCACATCAGCACAGACCAGTCTATTTCTCAGCTTCCAAAGAAACACAACCTGCAACAGGTAGTGAGTGTCGAACTACACACCTTAGATATCAGCAGAGGTTACATAGGCCAACTCTCTACCCAACAGAGCTATCACTGCCCTGTCTGCAGACACATAGCTGTGGGTGAATGACTTCTCTATTTCCTGTGCCTCTGGACTGACCATCAAATAAAACACCATATGTTAGCTATTGTGATGATGGCACATTCAACTAGCAACAATACATTTAGGTCTTTGATAGTGGAGTTCTTTGATGGTCAACATTGATCTATATGGTCACGGTGTTGCCCAAAGGCCATCATTGGCAAGGATATTTTGATATTCTGTGGGATATTCTGGATATCCTCACTTTTGTGGATGAAAGGGTCAGGTGTAGGACAATCCTTCCAAATGATCAAGGACACAATATGGATAAATGGTAATATTTCAAAACAGATGTGATCAATGGTCGTGACTTGGCCGTGATTCTTTGACTTATGTGTAAGCTTCCATCAGATGACGTGGAGACTGTTATATTAGATTTCCATACACAAAGGTCAGCCTTATGGTATTACAAGATGATTCATAATCTTACACCATCTCAAGATTAATCTCAATACATAGCACATTGTTAGGCCAAATTCATCGTTATCGTTGCTACATGAGCCATTCATCTCTTAAAAAATAGAGACAGCAAATCAGTAAACTGTGCCAAGTGTGCCTTATGAGACATTATTTGGATGACTGACTGGTGTGCATTACACAGATGCCCTTTTTATATATCAATAATTATCTATCCATACATTAGTTAGTCATTCAAGGGAGGTAAATCATACAAGTTTTGACAATAAGAACACTTCATATCTTACAGCAGACTTCCATCAGTATTTCAATAAATGCAGAAGAAATTATCTTCACTTCTTTAAAATTGTAAACAGTGATTATCATTCTGTAATCATTGCTAGAAGTATTTTATAAAAAAAAAAGATTTACTAAGAATAAAAATATGCCATCAGCTGATAAAAATGCTGTTGCTAATAATTTCCTGCATTAACTTGAAATGTGGAACTCTTTAAGCAAGGAGATACAATATTACATTAAAAGTAGTACACATCCATAAATATCTTGCTTAATTTAACAAGGTTTTTCACAGCACATACATTATCTTTTAAACATAATGAGTACATATTTTTTATATCTTTAAAATCTTTAAAAATTCAGAAAGTGTATTTTTCTTTTCAGTTCTCATCAGTTAAATGTAAAGACACAAGAGATTGGACAGCTACCAAGTGGGATAATGTTAACTCTTACAGTACAGAAAAGCTGATAACCTTAATCCTAATAATTTTCTGGATCTTCACTTCCTAAATTCAATTGTTTTGTTAATGTCATCTTTTTTAGTTAAAGAATTGAGTTTGAGTTTAAAAACACTACAAGGAACTTGGTGTCTGATGGTAATTAGATGATGATAATTATCAAGTGTACAAAATAGCAGTATCGTGTCATAGCCTGACCTTATAACCTTCCTATGATAGACTTTCTAATATTTAATTTGGTCCCAACAGGCAAGACCTCGAAAACAACAATTAATTAACACAAAATGGCAAAGTCCTTTCTTGTCCCTTCAGGGAGGAGATGTACATGTACATCACTCCACAATCCTCAGGGGGCCACAATCAGCCAACAGTCTCTAGTTCCATAGTGAATCCAAACTTCTCAGAAAGTCTAAGCAACTATTATCATAACAGCTGGCCTTTGTAAGATTGAAACCAATTATCTAGCCATATGAAAACAATGCACTTAAATTAATTTTCAAACGAAATTGAAAATGTCACCTAAGGTGACCTTTCTAGAGAGGTGTTTATACAAATGAGGTTACTTTTTTACACAGGTACCTACCACACAGTGGTGTCGATACTCATTATAGAGAAGTGACCTGTTTTATAGAAAGTATCAGCTCTCTGTTCTCCACATGCCTTTATAAAATAAACATGACAATTACAAACAAATATCTGATACACTTGACTTTTATTGACATTTACTTAACCTCTAAAGCAAAAATTCATTGCAGACCTTAATCCACAGGTTTAGTTTTTTGGGTGACCATTATAACAGTCTGCTATTCAATTAAGACCTTTATAAACAGGTGACCTCTATAGACAGATGATATCTACAGACAAGTATTTGTAATACAAGTAACCGTTACAGGTCTCTGTAATACAAGTATGACCTCTATAGACAGGTGACCTCTATAGACAGATAATATCTACAGACAAGTATTGGTAATACAAGTAATCGTTACAGGTCTCTGTAATACAAGTATGACCTCTAAAGACAGGTGACCTCTATAGACAGATGATATCTAGAGACAAGTATTGGTAATACAGGTAACCATTACAGGTCTCTGTAATACAAGTATGACCTCTAAAGACAGGTGACCTGTATGGATATATCTGTGATACAGATCAAAGTTCACGCTAAAAAAGTGCTTGTTATCCAAACCAAGGTATATTTAACAAAATTATTTCATACAATACTCAAATTACAAACAGCATACAAAGAGAATTTGTTTAAAGAAAGCATGATTTAAACAGGAATTTGACATTACACAAGATGACAATGTTACATTAAGTGAGATGTACATGTGACAACTGAACATTTTTACCATTCAGTAATATCAAAGGAGTGTTACAAGTAAAACCATTTTTGACATAACCACAACAAGTTTGAAAATAATATATATTGCCTTTCAATTGTTTGAAACAAATAATAAATACCATTGCATTAATTTTGATTTTTAATATGTTTCCTCTGGAACAGAAAATGTTTTTAACAAGGAAAACTGAAAAGCATCTGCAACAGTGTTGATTTTAACCCTCTGATTTCAGCCTACATTACAAATACAATTTCTCACAGCATGTCTGGAAAATGTCATGCATAGTCTGTACATTGAAACAAACCAAATAAGTGTCAGGTCAAATGTGCGGTAATTAACCTCTGTCAAGTCAATTGAGAAAATAAACTGAGATGTTATACTGCTATGCCGCACTCTTTCTTCACATTACAAAATATTCCAGATCAAAAGAAAATTGATTGTGACAATTATTTCAACCTGAAATTAGTAAGTCATGTGGGAGCCATACACATGACCCTTATATTCTAGGAAATAATGACAAGTGGAATGAACGGTGAAATCTGAAATTTTCCCCTCAGTCTTTCAAAATTTACTGTGTTTAAAATATACTCTCTAACTCAAAGCAAGGGGTGGGCTTATTAATGGACAATGATATACCAAAAATAGGAATCTATACTGAAACTACAATACATGTGAGTGGGCTCATTAAAAAGGCATGTGCCTATTAATGGATAAATAAACATTTGAAAGCTACTTATCAGGTCAGGTCTTGATGTTACCTGATTTCTTGTTTTCTGTAGACTCTACAAACTGGCCTTTACAGGCAAATATCATCATAATCCTAAAGTTGTAATAGTCTTTGATATAGGGACTGTCCTTCATAGACAGGTGATGTCCTAATCCTAAGACAGATTGGTTTTAATGTAGGAGCTGTTTTTATAGAGGTAATATCAGAATCTTTAAGTCAGACAGGTTTCTCCAGATAATCCTAAAGTCAGACTAGAAGTTTTTACATAGGAGCTGTCCTTTATACACAAATAATGTCCTAATGCTAAAGTAAAGTAAGGTTTTAATACAGGAGCTGTTCTTTATAGAAAGGTAATGTAATTATTCTAAAGTCAGACAGGTTTTAATGCAGGAGCTGTTCTTTATAGAAAGGTAATGTAATTAAAGACAGGTTTTAATGTAGCTTCATGACCACCTACAATAATTAACACTTAATCTCAAGCTTGCGAAGTAAAATTGAACATTTCAGTGATGTAATGAAACACAGGTAATTTACTGATTTTAAGCCGCTACAGTAACAAAAACAACATTGGATGACATGAAGACCTGGCCTGAGATAAACAGCAGCTTCTCTGTTAAAGCCAGGACTTAAAGTTAGATGGTAAAAAAAAGGGCATGTGATGGAATTAAAATCCAGCCTTAAATAAATTCTTTCTATTGATTTTTAATAAGGGACACATTAAAGAGAGGACAACACACTGTAAACATTCCATTCCAGACCTGCAAAATTCTCATGAAAAATCTCAAATCAATACCAACATCTCATTAAAAACCAGTAACGATATTTTTTCCCAAAAAGAGTTTGCGGAACATTCCGTGAAAGCAATTACCCTTTTCAGCTTTGGGATTTCTATTTTGGATAGTGGCAAGGTTTGGTACTGTAAGACTTGGTGTTCCAAGTTTGGTCTATATTGTACTGGCAAAACACATTTTAACATACATGTTTCTCTGGGGAAGAAAATGTCGATACAGGACAAGAAAATCTGTAAGAGGTAATGAGTTGTAGAACATTACCTGTTTATAAAGGGCAGCTCCTACTTTGAAACGTGTCTGACTTTAGGATGCAGATAATATCTATCTATAAAGGAGAGTTCCAAAATAAAAACCCTTCTGACTTAAAGCACAGTTCCTTAAAACCTGTCTGACTTTAGGATTAGGATATTTCCAGTCTATAAAGGACAGTTTCTATTTCAAAACAAGAAGCATAATTGACCTTTAGGGTCAGCTGACTATAAAGACCTATATATGATAGGCTTAGGGGATGGCCTAACTGCTCACCTGTTCAACAGCTTACATAAAAAGTCAGTTATCATTAGGTGATTTTTATTTATTTTTTTTCAATCACACTTGATTGGAGGAAAACACACTGCACTAAACATACCATAACACTAAGACTATCTATTCCATAAATGGAGTTTTTCTTTTATCAACCTTTACAGCAGGCAGCCACTATATACTATAATCTGTAGAACATATTCTACAATCTTAAGATATATTGATAAAGACGTACATGTTTTCTGAGTTTCAAACCATATGAATATTGTGATATAGAAAGTGTTTAAACCCCTGTGACAATGTTTGGAAGCAAGTTAAAGTCATTTACATTATCAAATCATATCAGCTTCTAAAACAGAAGTATCATTGCACAATCTCATGTGTCTATAGAAGCTGGTATCCATAACATTTATAAATGGGAGCTGCATATTTGCTGTAGGAAAGCTGTGAGTAAACATGACATCACAGATGTACACTGTTTCATCCTACGGAAATGTCTACAAACAAAATGTAATCTATCATTTAACATAAAAACAATAGGATTCATTCACAAGTGCAAAGATGACAAGCAAAAAGCTGCATGTTGATAGTACAAAAGAAATTCCTGTTGTAGGCAGCTCACTTGCTTCACAGAAGCCATTCAACTCCATTCAACTCCAAATGGCCACCCCTATATGACAGTAGGTAAAATCTGTGTACCTGAAAATCTGAAGTCTGGCAACACTAATCACTAAAATAACAAGCATATTTTCTGGATTATAAGCCGCAGCTTTTCCCCTTGGCTGTCGGGCATACAATTTATACGTGAACAAAAAAACAAACAAAATCAACAAAATGAAAAAACAAGAGGCCCAGAGGGCCTGTATTGTTCACCCGGATATTTAAGTCTATAATGCAAAACTTTACATTTCTTTACAAGGAATATATTTCCCCTAATCAGCTTCACCCCACAGATGCAGCTTTAAATTTCCTATGGATGAGAACTGAGATCAGTTTTAATCTCTTGATGTCCAGCAATGCTATTACGTTATGGAATGGTAATCTCAATGGCTTCAAAGACTTAATCAATCCTGGGGTAGGACCAGACTCCAGGACAAATGATCAGTTATGATTGTGTTTATCTCCTGATGCTAAGCAATGCTATAGTTGTTCAGTGGGGATCACAACCAGAATAAGATCAAAACCAAAGATCCAAATGAATTGTTGATGGTGCAAAGCAATGCTCCAGGGGGCATTTATACAAAACTGATTTCCCTTTACCAAACAGACGAAAAACTGAACACTGAAGAAGTGGTTTGTTTACATGGTTCTGTCAGAGGGTTATGTAGGTATTATGTAGGTCTAAGGTACCTTATGTGTGTCTATGTGATGATATCACCAACATAGAATAAAAATTAGGCGAAGATAGGTACAAAACCATTTGACTGGAAAGATGTAAATAATAGTTTATCACATGCCTATCTAATATTTTTATGTACACCCTTGTGTGATAATACACAGCTTACTGTCACATCAGGATTGCATACTATGGCATTACATATTCACAGATTACATTATGGCTTCACACTGATAACCATAAAGAGAGACAAGAGGACCTAAACAGTAATAAAGAAAAGTACAATTTCTGCAATATTTGTCAAAATAATTAATCATAATGTGATAAATATAAGATCATTAATTTGTATACATTTTTTTACCAAAAGTTCGCTGAAATAGAAAATTCTTGAGACTTTTTTTCATCGCCCACATTTGAAATGAAAACTCAAGAAAGATCCTTGTATGTATATATGCATCCTTAAAATTACCTTGACATAAAATATACATTCTACATCCTTACCTAAAGACAGTACATTTTTTTTACTAAGGCAGACAGAGAAACTTTTGGCCACTTGTCAAGTCATCAATTTTACCACTACCGATGAACATATGTCTTAATGTCTCCCCTGAAAATCTCACCCAGAAATATAAAGACAGACAGACATTTTTCATTGACATCAGGAGACTGTCAAAAATGCTCTGAATCATTTAATCAATACCTCTAGAAATGCTATAAAATTTGCCATAAAATATGGAGATGAAAAAAACTCACGATACTTCAAGGCTTTTAAGACGATCCTGGAAGATTTATTAAGATAATATCTGTGTGAAACGGAAATTGGTTACCACAGTACTAGAATTTATATACAAAAAATCAATTTCTACCATTCTAGCTGCGTAAAAAAGTTGTATTCCCTGAGAAAGTATATGTATTCTGTAAGATATAAATATGTATTCTTCTAATAATCCACTCCTCTAGAGCTGACTTCTTGAATTTTATGATTATATATCACAAATCTAACCATTTTCTACGATCGATTCTCTCTATTTCAAAGACTGGTTCAAGAATAAAACAAGTTTAGTGTTTTCATGAATATCACGAGAAACAGAAAATTCAGAAGATGACAGAAGATGATAGTGCTTCAATGAAAAAAATTATTATAGGCCTGCATGTTATAAGCCCATCCAATATATGTTGCTGTTCTTACAGAGTAATTACAAGTGAATAGTTATTTTATCTGTCCTCTATAGAGACAACCCTCTGATTTTGAATAAGAATTTAAACATTGGTTCCTTGGGTCTTTTTAAAGATAAATGCACAAACTGGGACAACAATAATGCTGCTGCAATACAGCTTCCATACAGTCAAACCACTAAAGCAAAGGTAAATTATGTGAACGCTTTATTTCAAAGCATATTGTCGAATACACTACTGCAATAGTAGGTTGTGTATCCTTTTCTGTTTACACCAGTGTAGTATGATAAAATGAAGCCCATGGTAAAGTGATCTGCAGTTCATGTCACCATTATGATGAAATGAACCCCCACCCCCCCCCCCTCTCCCTAGTAAAGTGAAGTCACTTCACACTTTGTTTTCAATTGATGTTTCTTCACTTAATTTTTTATCAGTTTACTTAACTATGTTCCTCAATACAAAATAAAACAAAAAAACATGTGTAAGGAAATATATGGTGGGAATCTACAACAGTATCTATAAAGAAGTGATATAATTTACAGAAGTATTACACACATAGCGTTTTCATGTTTCCAATGGA